TATACACCGATACGACCACCATTCGGGTGATAAGGGATTTGGGGGGGAAGGCGGAGGCGGTCGATCCGCGATGAATCATGCCTGCCGCCAACAAAGACTGCGCGAGCAAATAAAGACCGACGTCCGACCGATCTACGGATATACCTATCTGTCGAAATAACTACCGATTCAGCCACCTATGTCTATAAAAAATACATGTGCAACTGTGCATCTAAATGCCGATGTATCTGTCCATCTTTCGATCAACCGATCTGTCCATTTATCCACGTATATCTCTATTTATCTGGTGGTGCTGGTGATGATGGTGAGTGGTCCTGGCGGTGGTGGCGGCAATGGTGGTGGTGATGGCGGGATGGTGTGATAGCGATGGCCATGTGACATGATGGTTTTTCGTGCACGCTGGCGCTCCATGGCGCGACGTCAGCGTCACTTGGTTGCGTGCCCAGTTCCTATGCCGAGCGCCCGTGCCCTTGGTGGCGCATGCTCCAACGGCTGCGCACTCGAGAAAAAAACGCACCCCTATAGCAATGCCACACGCGTTTGGAGCACAAGCAGAGCTTGGTGCCACCCAGTCGCGCGGCGACAAGTACACAGAGAGGTCATCGTCGTTGCCGAGATATACAACGTCGCCCGCGCCACTCAGATGCGAAGTAACGCCATGCGTGGACGGCGCCCACGGCGAGACTGCAGAAGCCCGCGCACACGAACTGCAGCAAATGCGGATTCGCAGTTCAAATCTGACGGCCATGACAACAAGCTCGCCAGCGCATTCCGCAAAAGACAGCCCACACGCCAAATTCCAGCACGCGCTGTCGGCGCGCGCGGGGCCGCGCGCATCGAGAGAAGCAAACGCAGGGTAAAGTTTGGCCATGAGATCTGGCCGCGCCACGGCTGCGGCTGCGCCGCCGCAGAAGTGCGCCCGCAGCGCCTCAGCGCGCGCGCCCAAGTCGGCGCGCCAGTGGCTCTGGCCCGTGGCGAACGCCGGCACGCCCGCGGCGTGCACTTTCGCTGGGGACAAACTCGCGGGGTGATCACCCGGCAGAGCCTGGGCCACAGACCCCGCGCTGCTCTCCGCCAAGCCAGCCGCCAAGTAGAGCCATCAGCACGCGGCCGAGGTTCGACCTGCGCACTGGCCAGAATCGCAAACCTCCACGCTAAGCAAGCAGTGCTCCTGAGAGCGCCGCGCGCACAGGTCTCGCACGGACACGTTTGCCAAGTTCCGGCAGCCGACGGACTTGACTGTCCGACGCAGGTGTCGTCGAAAGCGGGCTTATTTGTCCTGATAGGCGCGCCTGTCGTCGGCGCCGTTCAGCAGAAGCAGGAGCGCCTTGCCGAGCGAGAACGACAAGCTCTCCAGCGTGCGGGCGACGTCGTCAGCTTGGAAGCGCACTTCCTGCATGGTCTGCGCTGCTGAGTCTTCGCTCCCAGCGTCGTCGCACTGCGTCGCGACAGCCTCGCCGGGCCGATCTGGAACCTGCGCCGAAGTGCATTTGGAGCCACGAGTCACCGAGGGCGCCGATGACTAGCCGAGCCTGATCACCGACCAGTCGCCTGTCTCACTCTGGCCCTCCTTGGGATCGGGCTCTTTGGCCTCGCCATTCTTCTCGGCGCGGAACGAGGCCGCAACCCCCCCACAAAAAAAAAAAAAAAAAAAAAAAAAAAAACGACGCCCTCGCGACCAGACTTCTCCGCGCAGTACTTCGCAGCGCCATCAGAGATTGGCGCCGCGCCGTTGATGGCGAGCATTGCCCGCTAGTCGGAAGTATCTCTGTCAGACGGCCCACTCTGCCCCAGCGCGCGGGTCGCCTGCTTGAAATGGCCCCGCGCTCGCACGAGCGCCTCCGGCGCCGTGCCCCGCCGCGCCAGATGCGCCAGAAACGGGGCGTCCGCTTTGGCCTCAAAGGCCGACCTGGCCTCGAAGTCTCGGGCGAAGCGCGCAGCCCCGAAGTCCTAGATGGGCGGGGCATCGCGGAAAGCCACGCGCCCCCAGTACATCGCGCGCGCCCAAGCCGCGAATGCAAGACCCAGCTTTGCTCGCGCAAGACGACCAGGCTCCGGCGATAGAAACGACGCATCCCTCGCGCGCTGTGATCTATGTGCATCGTGACGGCCCAGGCCAGTCGGAGTGGGACCCCTGCACGCACGGCGCCAGACTTGGCGTTCTTGTGCACAACTTCCACAAAGGGCAGGCACCCACGCCTTGGGCAAGTTTGCGAAACACGGCGGGTTGGTGCAGTCCCGGAAGTGGACCGCGACGAAGTCAGACAGGGGGCAGGCCTCCAGACCTCGCGGGTAGATGTCCGACCGCGAACTGGGAAAGCCAGATCCTGCCAGCGCGCTGCCGTCCACTCGCTGCTCGCCTGGCGCCGCATGCAAGATCGCAACCACGACTCCCCCGAGCTCCATTCATCAGACCCAGCGGCACGGCCTCGACGCCCCACAACTGTTGTTGCGAGAGCCTCACACGCGCTCCGACGCATAAGCGCGTTGCTTTGTGCACGTTGAGGAACTCATCTGCCTTGCGAGATTCACCGCGCCCACGGCTGTGGCGCGCCTCGCACAGAACAAAAACATGGCCCGAGCTGGCTGGCTCGCCATGGAGCGGCACCCTTGCTGCGAGCTGGCCCCCGTCGACCCCGCCCGCAGGCGCATTCTCCAGCACGGGCAGCACGGTTTCACGGGGCAAGTGCCCCCCGCCCGGCCACGGGCGAGCCGCCGCGGGGCTCGCGCCGCCCACATCGTACGTTTTCCACAGAGCATAATCCTCTGCGTTTATGGCGGACCCCTGGAGTCGCATGGCGGAGTCTTTGAAAGCATCGACTCCTTTTTGGCAGCACATGCGCGGCAGACGAATCGCACCCTCGCAAGCGCGAAAGCGTCGAACACATGTCTCCCCGCGAGCGACATGGATCTGGCAGCCGCTCCGCCGTTCCCGATGAAGGGCATCCCCGCCGTCAAGCTCGCACTCAGCACGGGCGGCAGCTGGGCGAAGTCGCCCATCGAGAACACGCCGACGCCTTCGAAGATTATGTCGCACGGCGGCGGGCACCGAAATTCCCGGCGCCAGAGAAAACGGACCACCTGCTGCATGCGGCGACTGACCACGTCCAGCGGCGCGGCACCACAAGTAGAAATCTCGTCGATGCCCGGCAACTCCAGACCCCAAATCGCTCGCGCGATCGTCGAGCGCGTGTCCGGTCAATTCTTGCACCGCGTCAGCGCGGCATGAAACACGGAGTCGCTGATTCTGGGTCCCGTTCCCAAATTGGCCAAGGCGGCGCATGCGAAGGCCACGGTGGGCACGCCGTCGCACGACCCGAGCATCAGGCGCACCACTGCGACGCCCACTTTGGCCGCGCGAATTTTGCAAGCGCCTGCCGCTCCAGGAAGGAGCAGGCGCAATGCCAGCGGAGGACGGGGCGCAGCTAGCCCAGGCATGCCCCTCCACTCCAAACGCTTCTCGGCCCACTCTTTCAGCGCGTCCGCACAAAAGCCCCCGTGCGGGGCCCAAGATTGCAGTCCTCGAAGCGAAGTCGCAATGCTGCCTGGACCGGTGCAAATCTGCCCTGAAGCTTTGGCCCATGGTGGAAAGCGTTGGAGACGCAACGGACGCGCGCGCGAAGTCGGCCCGACTGGGCGACTGCGTGCCCCGACCTCCCCCCAGCCCACAGCTAGGGCGCTGACTGACCGCCAGCAGAGACATACGTAGTCCACGTCGGGCGGATTCACCTGCCGCCCTGCGAGGGCGCCCTCCTCCTCCTTGGCGCCCGCGTGAAGAATGTCGACCATGTCCTGATGAAGCTCAGTCGCAATTGCCCTGCCGAGCGCGCTCTCGGCCTGCTCCGTGGCGACAACGCCGCTTTCGGGCATCTCTCCAACAGCCGCCGCGTGCTCCACGAGAGGAGCCTTGCACGCGCGTGGGCGCTCGAAGAAATCCCCCACAGCAGCGCCCTCGCCCGCGTCGCTGGCAGAGCCTGGCGCCGCCCGCCCAGCGTCGATGGCGCGGTTGAGCCAGTGCGTCAGACGCCGTGCCAACGCCAGCTTCGCGCCTGCGAGCTGGCCTCCAAGCTTCGCACCTCCTCGCGCAAGTACCGAGGATATATCCTGCAGTTTCGTTTTTTGTGCATGGCGAAAGAAAGTCAGCGTCGGCGTCGCCGCACTGCGCGCGGAGCGAAGCAAGGTCGTTGCGCGTCGACGGAGCCGGTGGAACTGCGACTCCGGCAGCCAAAAAAGCGTCGTGGAGATCACTGCGCGCCCACCTCATCTGCTTGCACATGAACCCGACGATAGCCGCGTGGACTCTCGCTTCGTCGCTTTTATTCATTCCTTTCTAGACGCAACAAAAAACATGGGACGGGCAAATAACGGCCTCCGCAACTTCAACGCAGTCACTCGGCGATTCGAACAAAATCAAGGGTGGGCCCTTTTTTACAATTGATCCCCTACTCGAGCCTTCGTCGCGGGGCGCTGGGGCAACCTTTGCCTGGCGCCAGGCCTCGCTCGCCTCTGCCCGCTCGGCATCGAACATGGCCGCCCGCGGGATCTCCCGCCAGCCAGGAAGCCGCCCAAGGAAGACATCGCGCGTCTGCGACAGCGAAGACGCCGCCCGCGCCGTCGAGTGCATCCTCGCCCCTGCGGCCGTCCTCAGCGCCATGCCCAGGCGCCGAACCTTCGCGGCGCGCGGGGGGCGCGGCGCCACGCGGGCGCCAGGTCGATCGCATGGCGACGCTGCGACGAGGGGCCCCGCGAGCTCCGCGACGGTCTCTGGCCCCACGCTTGACAAACGCCCCGCGCGCGGTTGCAATGCGCAAGCAGAATCCAAAAAAACACGCGTCTGCCCACTGCTCGCCCGCCCGCGCCCGCGCAAACCTGCCCGCCGGTTGCGCGACCGCGACGCCGGCCCTAGGCGTGAGAACCACTGCGTTGCCATAGCGGTTGCAGTACCGCTTCAACTCCCACCGTCACGTGAGCTCCAGGGGACCACGCCAGCGACCGTGAACCAAGCTGCGGACATCGAAGAACTCGTCGCTGTCAGAGGCTGGCGCCCCCACCCTCCGAACAACAAACTGCCGGGGCGGCTGGCCACTGAGGGCGCGGCGTTCCATCAGGGCCGCGTCGGATGGCACCTCCCGCTCGCGGCGCGTCGCGCACTGCTCCGCCTGCGACTTTTCCACGATCTTCGCACTGGCGCTGCCCTCCGCCAAAAGCTTCTCCTTTGTCCTGGCCTGGCGCGTCTCCGCCTTCAGGCGCAGGGCATAGGCGTCGAACTCACGGCTGCATATGAACCGCGGGGCGCCGAGAATTAAGTGCACGCGCTCGAGCTGCGATTTCACTTCGCTTATCGCTTGCATGCTGAACCAGCGCAACACTGCGGACCCAGTGCCCCCCTTTTTCCCACGCGACTTCTCGATGCACAACGCGAAGATGTGCTCCATCATCTTGATCAAGGCGCCCTGGCCCGATCTCACCATGTAACTAACTGCCTATGCGCTCGATGACGGCGCCCTTCGAGCGCGTCGCCTAGAAGTGGCGGCATCGCAACCGAAACGAGCGGCACGAAATTGTTCAGTAAGTGGCAAGGCAACGCCGCGCCATCAAGAGCCTGCGCAAGTCGGACCGACGGGGGTCCCCTGCCACATCCTCGTCGCCCGGACGCACCAGTTTCTGCGGGAAGAGCACTTTGCACGACGCGCGCTCGTTGGCGGGGTGCTCGTCGTCGACGCGCGCGCCCCGCTGCGCTTTGCCCGGTGACCCCGTGGCGCGCGGCTTGTGCATGTCGCGCACGTTCGCCCACTTCGCCAGCGCCGCCACGAATGCAAGTCGCGCCCCGGCGCGCTTGGCCTCGGGGCGGCAGAGCTTGGCCCGCCGAAGTCGGCGCCCAGAGCGCTCGCGGAAACGCGCGGGCACCCCTCCAGTATCTCGGCCAGCTCGCCCCAGCAGCGACCGGGCGCTTCAGCGGGCAACTCCAGGCCGCGCAGCAGGCAGCGGGCGCGCGCCTCGCATGAGAGGCCCTCCGGGGGGCGCACTTTTCCCCCTTCGGCCAGGCCGAGGCACTGGCGGGCGCCAGCGTCGCGGCTGGCAGCGCCCGGCTGCGCGCAGGATGGATCAGCCACGGCCTTGGCGACGTTGAACTCGGCGCAGGCACGACCCCAAAACGTTGCCAATCGGTCCGCCGCCTCGGCCCCTCCGAAAACTTCAGCACCTGGCGGCGCGGCGTCGACGTCGACGACGGCGCTGTAATCCCCGATGCGAGGCGCGGCAACCTTGTCGACGCGCGGCGCGCCGACAATCCAGAAGGCCGCGCGGACGCGGATCACGCCGCCATCGCCCCAATCGAAGGTGGCGCAGCGGTCGCCGACGCGCCCGAACGCGCGCAGGTCCAGGGCGTCGTCGACACGCGCATCGACGCCCAGGCGAGCAGCCGAGTCGCCCCCAAGCTTGTCTTTCGCAGCGCCCCGGCCAGGAACCTCGACAGATCGCTGCTGCTCAGCGATCCAGGCCACAAGGCCCGGCTCGCGCACTGCGAGCTCGAATCACATTTGCGGCGGCCCCTCTGGCAGAGCCTGGAGGGGGCGTCTGCCACTGGGCGCAGCACTCACGAAATGTTGGGTCATCGCTAGGCCTGGAGGGGCACGCCTTCAGCACTGCGCCATGCACCTGCGCCCACTTGTACACGACATACGCGAGCATGCAAAACCCAACCGGCATTCGACCGGCACCTCCGTTCATTCCCAGATCAGCCGTGTCGGCTTCAACTCGATGGACCATCGCCTCGAGCTCCCGGCGCATTCTCCGGCGCTCGCCGATCGAGCCCGGGATCACGGTCGTCGCGCTGGACATCGCGCTTGGAAGCATCTGCAAGCGATTCCAACGCGCGCGCGCCACGTCCTTGGCGGGCGCGGAAGAAGACGCGCTGCGCGCCAAAGACCATCGCGCGCAGCATGGTGTTCAAGAGCCAATAGCAGAACCGCGCGCGGCGCATAAAGTGCGCGTCGGGCCACGCCATCAGGCGGCTGCCCCACTCCTCGAAGCGCAGCGGGCGACGCAGGCCACCGTGGCCCCCGCGGTGGTCGCCGACCCCGCGCGGGAACAGTTCTGGGAACGTTTTGGCAGTCCACCCGGATAGCTTGCCCCAGCGCGCCCTCCACATCAGGAAGGTCCACTCTGGGGCATTGGCGCCCCTTCAGCTGCGAGGGCGCGGCGGCGCAGGGCGCTGCGCTGACGGAGACTGGCGCAGCGGCGTCGGCCTCCTGCGCGGCCTCGCCGGGAGCTGCTTCGGGAGCGACGCTCGGGGGCGGCGCTGCGCCGTCGCGGCGGCGAGCGAATCCACGGTGCTCTCCCGTGGACCAACGTCGTCGCCGACTCCTCCGGCCGCGGCGGCGCAGGCACGCACCGCGGCGGATGGCTAGCTCAAGAGGGCAGGCGTCGGCGCCGATTGCCCGCGACGCTTGCAGAACATGCCGGGCGCTTCGGTCCTGGGGCAGGCCGAGATTGGCCGAGATCCGTTCTCCCCGCGCCCAAACAACCACCGCGAGCACGTCCTGCGGGAGCGAGGAGGCCACGCGGGGGGATTCTTTGCTCGACCACTTCAACCACAGCGCGGCGCGCCAAATCCCAGCCACCACGGGCGACGTGTCCAGCGATGGCAGAGCCCGGCGCCGCAGCGGCCGAGGTCGGAAAAGCGCCCGCCCCCCCCCCGCCTCCTCGAGCACCATGCCCAGCACGCGCCTACCGATCGCGCAGCCCGAGTCCCCCGCGGCGGCCTCGTTGCGCGCGAGTTGCATCCGCCGGCGACAGCAAGCGCCGGACACAGGCAGGAGGCGCCTGGCCCAAGTCCTCGTCGGCCTCGCGAACGACCCCCACCTGCACGTCCTCGGCCCCCCACGCAGCTGCAGCGTCGCCCCGCCACTCCACGCCGAAGAAGTTAGTTTGTGCTCCGTCATCCAGTCGGACGCTCGCCGGAGCTTCAGCGCGCCCACTTTGGAAAGCGCCCTGCCCGCTGCCCTGCCCCCGCACGCCCGCGGGCGCACCGGGACAGACGGCGCGCCCGCCAGCATTTCCGGCAGGCTCTCGTGGACCGTGGACGCACGCTGCCAGAACATGCACATGCGCCCCACGCGCGCGAGCTGACCCGCCCAGGGGGGGCATGCGTTTGGACGAGCGGGGACGTGCCAGAGCGAGCACCATCTCCTCATGATCAGATAGCACGGCCACCGCAGGCGCGAACTCGCTCGCGCTGCATCCGAGCACCGAGCAAGACGCGGCGCCGCTAGCAGGGCCTGGCGGCGCCACGCCTTCGAAGCGCTCGCGCGCGACCTCGCGCCCTCCCGGCCCTAACCAGCAGCGAACAGGATGCACCGCGTAGTCGCGCAAGCGCATCTCATCGCTAGCAGGGGCAAAAGACCCGCCATCGCCAACGCGTCCTTGGCAACCGTGGCAGACCACCGCCGAGCGACGCCCGGCCGGGCAGCGCGCGAGGGCGAGAGCAGCTGCACAGGCGCCTGGAAAATAATTCGCCGCCAGGAACAGGCGCGCCTCCGCCGCGGAGCCGGCGCCCCCCAGGCGGCACAGGTCGGCGGCGCCCCGCCTTCGCGCCCCCAATGGCACCGTCAGCCAATCAATGTGAAACGCGGCGCCGGCGACTGGCCGGCGCCGAGGGGATGCTTGTCGAAGTGGTAGTCCGGAAGCAGGTCGCGCCAAGCGCGCCAGCACACCGCGCGCGTCGCCCACTCGCAAGTTCCGCGCACTCGCACATCTGCCACGCGTTCGCCAAACGAGGGGGCGTTGAGAGCCGCGCATGCGGGCGGCAGGTCCTCTGGACCCTCGCGCTCGCATGCCCCGCGAGTTTCCGCGCCGCCTACGCCCGCGCGCCAGTACTGAACACGACCTCCAGCCCGCGCGCGCGAGCACTCTTGGCACAGACCGCGCCCGCCCCAACTGCGCTGGGGAGTTGGCTCTCCCGCCGAGTGCGTCGCGCGGTCTGCCTCGTCTGCTTCGGCGTAGCGCCAGCGGCCCACGGCCAACTTTTCTGGGCCTTCTTCTGGGCCTTCCTCTTGGGATTATGCCCCAGCGCCTTCCTCTGCGCCTTCCTCTTCGGTTTCTAACCCCGCGCCCCCCTCTGCGCCTTCCTCCTCGCCATACCGTTCGGTCTCGGCCCCTTGGCCTTCATGGCACTTCGGGCACGCGCTCGCATGGGCCGCGCGGGCCAAAGACTGGCGTCGGCGCGATCGCGCCGGGTCCACCATCTTAACTCGGCGCCAGCGCTCGCCCCGGCACGCGCGCGCGGCGGGCCAACGCCACCTGCCCTGCTACGGCGCGCTGGCAGGCCTCTTTGATCTGCACAGTGGTTCTCGGCCCATGCTTCCGAACAAGCAGCTTCGCCGCCATCCGCCGTGACCCCGCCTTCCCGCGCCGGCAAGTCATGCCACCGAAGTCAACTGCGCGCCAGGCAACCCCGCCTACACGGCGGGGGGCGCCCCCTGGCCGCGGCAGCGCTGGCGCAGCTTGCGGCGGAGCGTCTGCAACGCTCACCGCGTCGCCGCGCGGCTCGGCCGGCGGGGCAGCGCCGGGCGCGCCGTGAACGCCGCCAGGTATCATATCCCCAGCGGCAGAAGGCTGCTGGCCCGAGGCAGCGCCGCCCCCCGCGGCACCTTCTGCGGACTGCGGCGGGCCTGCCAAAGACCGGGCCCGCTCTAGCGCGCGTTTTTTTTGGGGGGGGGCATCGGGTCCTCTGCGGCGAGTCTCGACGCCGAGGCCCTTCGCGCGCTACATGAGCTCCGCCACGCGCGCATCACGCGCGTCGGGGGCTGGCAGAGCCTGGCCCGAGCGCGCGCCCGAGCCCCTCCCGGCCATCTCGGCGGGCGCCCCCGCCGGCGGTCGCGCCGGCCGCCCAGGCCGCAACTGCCGCGCGCGCAACGGATCGGAACTGCCACGACTGCGACGGCGGCGACGGCGGCGGAGGTGCGATCAGAGAGAAAGATCACACACGAGGAGGGGCAGCGAGAAAGATGACACACAAGAGTGGCGACAAAGTTCTGCGCGAGGGGCAAGGAAGTAGGATTTAGTTACCCGCTCACTCTTTGGCGGCGGCTGGCCGAGCGGCGCGCGCTCACGGACGCGCCGCTGCGCAACTGGCGACGACGGGCGCATGCATTTGGCCGCCTCTTGTTTTCGGGTAGCGAGCGGAAGTGGGCGGCGCGCGTTTGCCTGGCCTTACCATTGGGCACCGCGCCGAGAAATCGCCCGGGAGTCATCAATATGTCATATACATATATACACACACGCGCACGCTGAACGTTTGACAACCCATCGGGCCCCCGAGCCCCCAGGGACCCCGACCCGTTTTTTTGTTTAAAAGAGCCCCGTGGAGCCACCGACAAGGCGCCCGAGTTGCGCCAGCGGGGTTCCTTGTCGCGCCAGCGTCCGAGCCAACGGTCCACTCGCGCTGACCCGCCAGTAGTACACTCGCCCCCTTCCCGTACCAACGCGCAAGAGGATTCGCGGCCACGAGGCCGAAAGCGAACATCATTACATAATCGGCACGCGCCAAAAAAGTCCGAACGAATAAATAGACGCACGCGTGCAAATTCTCCGCTCCCGCATTTTCTCCTACCTCTCAGCCAATAACACTCTCCCCCCTCAATCACCCCACATGTTCAGACCCGCGACCCAGGCACGTCGGTGAGGGTTCTGACCCACAACCCAGGCACATCGGTAAGGCCTCTGACCCCACAACCCAGGAACGGCGGCGTGGCATCTGAAGGGGAAGAGGATGAGCCGCCGTACAGAACAGAAGGTGAGCCCCGTAGGGCGCTGGGCTGGCAGCACCTGGCCCTGGCCCCCCCTGAATGCTGACAGTCCACTCCACACCGAAACGGTCTGACCGCAAATGCCGTCGGAATGATGGTGGCGATCGTGATGGTGATGATGTGGTGGTGGTAAAGGCGTCACTGTCCATCTATATACGTATACAGTTGTGATTATGACTACCTATCTACCTATCTCTCGATCAAAGCGTGTACCGATACATCTGTCGATCGATGTATATATCGACCTATATATATATGTCTATATTTCTACGAGCACATATATATATATATATATATATCGATCGATCGATCTCAACCCACCATGAGGACACCACCATCGGGACAACCATCGGGACAACCATCGGGACACCGATCGAGACAACCATCGGGACATCCATCGGGTCAACCATCGGGACATCCATCAAGCCAAGCATCGGGACAACCATCGGGACAACCATCGGGACAACCATCGGGACAACCATCGGGACAACGATCGAGACAACCATCGGGACAACCATCGGGGCAACCATCGGGACAACCATCGGGACACCCATCGGAACACCCATCGGGAAACCCATCGGAACAACCGTCGGGACAACTATCGGGACAACCATCGGGACAACCATCGGGACACTCATGGGGACAACCATCGGGACAACCATCGGGACAACCATCGGGACAACACTCGGGACAACCATCGGGACAAGCATCGGGACAACCATCGGGGCATCCATCGGGACAACCATCGGGACACCCATCGGGACATCCATCAAGCCAAGCATCGGAACAACCATCGGGACATCCATCGGGAGAACCATCGGGACAACAACTCGGGACAAACATCGGGACAACCGTCGGGACACCCATCGGGACATCCATCAGGACAACCATCGGGACAACCATCGGGACAATCATCGCGACAACCATCGGGACAACCATCGGGACAACCATCGGGACATCCATCGGGACACTCATCGGGACAAACATCGGGACAACCATCGGGATACCCATCGGGGCACCCATCGGGGCAACCATCGGGACAAGCATCGGGACAACCATCGGGACACCCATCGGGACAGCCATCGGGACAACCATCGGAACAGCCATCGGGACATCCATCGGGACAACCATCGGGACATCCATCGGGACAACCATCGGGACAACCATCGGGACAACCATCGGGACACCCATCGGGACAACCATCGGGACAACCATCGGGACAACCATCGCGACAACCATCAGGACAACCATCGGGACAACCATCGGGACAACCATCGGGACAACACTCGGGACAAGCATCGGGACAACCGTCGGGACAACCATCGGTACAACCATCGGGACAACCATCGGGACAACCATCGCGACAACCATCGGGACAAGTATCTGGACAACCATCGGAACAACCATCGGGACAACCATCGGCACAACCATTGGGACCACCCGCGGGACAATCATCGGGGGGCGCGCCGGGTGGGGTGGGAGACTCTGGGCTACATGTGGCCTCTACCAGTGCAGGACCCCGCGCAACTTCGCCTCGCCCGCACGCACGACACGAACCGAAACCGAAACCGATTTCCCGGTTGGGGTCACTTCCTTTCACACCCCCCAACCTCCGATATATATATATATATATACACACATATGTGTATACCGATATATGTATGTATGAAGCTGGGATCGATGGACAGATGGAGAGAACGAAATGTTGGGAGATCGATACATAGATGTCGAAATCGCTAGATAAGCATACCGTATCGCGAATCCGATCCGACACAAGTCGCAAACCGGATGCTGCACCCATCCCCCCTCCCCGACCTCCTTATCGTCCGACGGATGGTCATGTAAGTAGATGTCCGATGTCCAATGGAAAGTGGACTAACGTGTACAAAAAGGGAGGAGGGAGAGGACCAGAAGGTACGGGATGGGAGCGGATTAGAGGGGAGTGGGGTGACGGACCGGGATGAAGGGAGAAGAGGGGAACTGAAGGGACGTAAGCAGGAACAGAAGAGACAGGAAGCGAGGCGAAGGAGTGAGGACAGGTGTAGACCCCCTTCGCCCAGGATGCGTCCGCTCGCCCGGCAAGCGCCGGCCCCGGCCCGCCAATGCCAAGCCCGCCCGACCCGACCCGCCCGCCCGCCCGTTTGGATCCGCCCGTCTCGGCCGACCCGATCCAGCCGATCCCACCCATTGTGGACGAGCTCTCGCCACTACTCGCACAGTAACTACTCGCAGGTGGCCTGGCTCCGCCGAGGCGGACCTACGACCCACTACATCCAGGCGAACACGTTGCTTCACGACGCTTGCGAGCAGGCACTTTGCGAGCAGCGGAGCGCGCCCGGTGACATGAGGTCTCCAGGCGAGTCGACTTGGGCGAGGCGAGACCCCTCTGAAGCCAACGAGCACGCCGAACGAGGGTGGGGATGATGCCCAACGGCAGGCGGCAGACGTTGTTCCCAAAACCGACAGCGGCCGCGTCAGCCCCAAATGGACAGCGCCCGCGGCGACACAAGACGGACCCTGTCCGAGAATTGACAAAGAACTCGGGGGCGCGCAAACATGGATTAGCGATCCATGGAGTTGGCGCGCGGTCGCCAAGTCCATGGATCGGGGGAGGTGCCCTCCCCAGAATGCGGCCGATGCCGCCTCGTTCCGCGGCGGAAATCCGCGATTTCCCATGGACGCGGGACCCGTCGCTGGTCCACGCCCCCTGAAATCCATGCTCGCGATCGCCTGACGAACTGCTGTCGGTCTTCGCCCCCGTGATTCTCCGTCCCTGTCCTGGCCATTCCGACTCCCGACGGACTCCTCCGCACCTTCCCCGGGAGAAGGATCACGCCGGCACAGACAGGCCGGGTCCGCGCGGACTTCCTGGGTCGGCGCTGGCACCCCACCGAAGCGCGCGGGGCGCGCCAAGGGCGCCCAGAGGAGCCTCCACTGCAGCGCCGCCAGAGGAGCCCAGCGTGAATGCAAGACGTCCGCGCGGACCTCCGGCGTACACTGTTCCTGCACGTGTGGATCATTGCCCGTCTGCCAAGTGGGGCTCCGGGTGTTATGCTCACCCGGGCCGCACCCGCGTCTC